CCAGCAATACTACAGAAGATTACGTGAAAAACAACGCCATATTTAAGTTGTTTCCTCAGAATGATATCGATTATACACGCGCGCGAAATCGATATCCATCTTGAAGTAAATACGCTAACGCAACTTCTCCACTTGAAATCGCACATGGGCCAATGTACTGAAGAGGTATGCTACGCGGACTCAGCCTAGACCGGATAGATTGAACCTCGGAAACTGAAAGCTTAAAGCGAGAAATTACGATAAAATTTCTGTGCAGCATGGAAGAACGAGCAGCACTTCAAGCAGTAGCTAGAGCCCAAAGGAATCGAGATGTGGCCTTTTTGTGACTAAAGGTGCGCTCGTTGCAGCGCCTGGGGCTGCCAATCCTTTCTGAGCTCCGCCTCCGCCTGTGCTCCGCCCCTCAGCAGATCGCTGTTCGATTATCATTCTGATAAGGTATGCCACTTCGAGCGCGTATCCAATTTTTTTCTCATGGAATGCTATATCAATCAAGGTATGATCTCTGGTGGTATGATGGCAGCTATGGTTTAACGAGTGCCGACGACCTCTTAGTTGGTTGCCAACTCGTCCATTATCGGAGGTCAACGGGCAGAGGAAGTGGTCCCATTTTGCGCGTTTTTGACGGATTTCTTTGCTTTTTTCGCTACTAGGGCATTATTCAGCATCTTCACTTCCACTATGAGCACAACAGAATCCTATCGCAATCTCTCGCTTTAAGTCCTCAACCAACCGCCCCTAACGACATAATTGCATAGGAGTGGGGGGAATCAGAGGAGGGAATGCTGTGTATGTTGGACTCTTCGTAGACGGTATCACCCCTGAGTACATCGATGTTAGCGGATCAGGCGATTACGGTTGGGCTAGGAAGAAGAGGTAACGTAAGTCAGAAGAGGCAGAGAACCATTGCATAGCTATCGATTGGTCTCGTAGACACTTAGTGATATTCTATTGCTATTACGAAGTAAATACCTTATAAAGGGCGGAAGTGGTGCAGTGACAAGTGGCGCTCACCACGCGAGCGGTCCGGGGATCAAATCCTGGGTCGTGAGTCGCCCGGGCCAACCAAGCCTTCCATCCCTCCGGGGTCGGTTAATTGGTACCAGACTTGTCTGGGAGGATAAAAAACACTGACTTGACATCGGCTGGCCCCCGCAAGTCATTGTATAGGCCACATCGCATTCAAATGCCACTGCGAATGTACAAATGGAAGTAGAATGCGTGCCGCATCCCAAAAAGGGATTGATCAACGGCAAATGCTTTATCCTTTATCCTTTATCCTCCTAATATTAATTAACTCACTCATAGCGTAATCGGCTGATCGCCCAATCGCCCAATCGCCTGCATAGCCAACTCTGACCAATAAGTAAGTGGATGTAGCTAGAATTGATGGCAAGGTTCACGTTCACATTGAAAATTTCCATTAAAGAACCACCTTAGCTAGCACCACTACTACTAATAGTCTTTACATCGAGCACAACCTTTAAAACAACCTATCGTTCTATCCGAAAGCACAGCCAACTTGGTCTACACTCTTGGGACTAGTCCAACTGTGTGCGAATATGAAATGACTATGGGCCGTGTGCTATTCTCCCCCATGATTAGAATCAGAAAATCCTTAAATTTTCACTAGTCATTCCCAACCGGAGAGTGCCCTCATAGAGACCTACTTAATATATTTATGTTGGTAAAAATAAACATTGCACGGAAAAATGAAAAATCGTTCGCTTCAAACAAATAAATGAAAGGAATTTCGAACGCCTAGCTCGGGAAATACATCGTCCTATAAAAGTGCTAACGCGCGGCCAATCATACCTCAGGTGATTTTGCGCGTTAACATCCTAGGGCCGTATGCTATGCTTCCCCGAAGCTAGGTGATCCAAAGTTTCCTTTAAATTTATTTGTTTTGAACGATATAGTTTCTTCATTTTCAGTGCATGTTTACTTTTACCTACATACATACATTAAATGTAGGCCCTTTATCAGGGCAATCCCAGTTGGGAAGACAGAGAAAATTTAAAGGGATTTTCGTCCCCTAACCCCTTGGGGGGAGGATAGCACACGGCTCATAGTCATTTCATATTCGCACACAGTTGGACTAGTCCCAAGAGTGTAGACCAAGTGGGCTGTGCTTTCGGATAGAAATGATAGGTTGTTTAAAGGTTTGCTGCTACGATCGATAAACGTACTAAATATAGTGGTGCTCGTTAAGGCGGTTCTTTAATGGAAATTTTCAATGTGAACGTGAACCTTGCCATCAATTTTAGCTACATCCACTTACTTATTGGTCAGAGTTGGCTATCCAGGCGATTGGGCGATTGGGCGATCAGCCGATTACGCTATGATAGGATACGTATCAATTGGGCGAATAAGCAATAGAATATCACTAAGAAGTCAAAACGAGACCAATCGATAGCTATGCAATGGTTCTCTGCCTCTTCTGACTTGCGCTACCTCTTCTTCCTAGCCCAACCGTAATCGCCTGATCCGCTAACATCGATGTACTCAGGGGTGATACCTTCTACGAAGAGTCCAACATACACAGCATTCCCCTCCCCTCTGCCCCCCCCCCTCCTATGATTAATCGTAGGGGGGTTGGGGGAGGATACTTAAGCATTTCCAGTTTCCCCAGAGTTCATCCTCTCCTCTAGGCTCGGTCCGCGTAGCATACCCTCTTCAGTACATTGGCCCATGTGCGATTTCAAGTGGAGAAGTTGCGTTAGCGTATTTACTTCAAGATGGATATCGATTTCGCGCGCGTGTATAAACGATATCATTCTGAGGAAACAACTTAAATATGGCTGTTTTACTCACGTAATCTTCTGTAGTATTGCTGGACTCTGTGGTACTTGCAACGCTGTCGTCCTTGAAAATTTACTGTCTTTTTGTTTCATACACATAGCAGTACTTCATATTGGCATCCATTTCGTTAGGGGAGGGGGTTCATGTCTTGGAGTTAGGATTAAGCTTTAGGGGGAGGAATTCTAGGAAAGAATGTGATCAATTCTGCTCTCCCTGGTGTTCCTCCCCTCTCCTGGGCTCAGTGCTAGTGTCACCTATCAGCGATTTTTGAGTGCCTTCCTTCGAGTGGCCTCCCCACCCTAAGGACATGAGCCCCCCCTCTCCTCCCCTCATATGTATTGCAAAAAAGCCAAACGTAGCCAGAAAGGAAAGACATCTCACCTCGGGAGGATCAATCGGGTGATGGAGAAGTTCCTGCATCCTCACTTTACCTTGGTAGATTTTCTTCTGGAGATTGAATATTACACTGCTTAAGGCATTTTTGATCTTATAAACCATCTGAAATTGAAGAGTTCATTCAATAACCTGAAGAAGCCAACGTTTCAGCCAAGACATGAAACTCACGAAAACATTGTGATTAATATCCGGTTCTCCTGGTGCACGGGGTTGATTGCTGGATCGAGAGGCAGTCGCCGGCTTGCCGGCCGTCGTGGCTTCGTCATAGTAGTCGGCGTCCTCAATATTGACGTCGTCATTCGGAGGTTTTTCTTTGCTACCACCGTCATCACCTTCATCCTTTCCTCTGCCTTGGGAGCGACGAAGACTCCTCGCTTCATTAGCTTCAACTTCCTTTGGAGGTGTCTCCTCGCCACCGCCGACCATCATCTTCAGCCGTCTGTCCTGCGCGACGAGCCCAGGGAATCTCTGGTTCTTGAGGTTAGGTTCCACCGTGTGCGTGTGGCCATGTCTCTGCACTCATGAGGTATCCTCACGGTCCTGAGTGGGGTCCACCTCAGCCGGTACAACGCCCTCTACGCTTTGAGGATCTCTGTCCCTGAAGATGGTTACACCTTCAATGATACACTCTCCATTCTCTGTCCGAGAGCCTCTATGTCTTGGTGGAAGTTCACTTTCGTGAGTCCACCTTCAGTTCTCAGTCTGTTGAATTTCTGTCCTTGTGAACCTTCACCATCTGAGGTCTGAGTGGATTTGTTGTAATTTGGCATGGTGTCAAGAAGCATAGCGACAGGAAATACGATTAATTCACTTCATCGGTAGCAGTAATGATGGGGAAAATGAGACGAGTTGCTGAGGGGTACTCGGGATTCACTTCGTGATCAAGAAATGATTCGATGGTTCAATACGCGCAGCGATGATGACTCAGTACGAGGGTCACACTAACCGTCGTTAAACAGTTTTCACCATTGTAGCGCATAAGGCGGCGTTTGGGTTGTCGATTGTCTGGGAAGTAGGCGATCAGATCGTATAAAGAACAGGGATGGTGTCATGAGGCGATGAGGAGGTAGGCGAAGTGGGGATTAGGCGATTAAGGGCGTTAGGCGATTATCGATGAGTCGATCATGGGTGAGTAGGCGATCAGGCGATGAGGATCCAGGGATTGACGGAACAAAGAGGTACCTGTTCCTTCTAGTTCATCGCCCACCACTTAATAGACTCAATCGCTCTGTTCCTAATCGCTTACTCCTATGGCTCAATCCACCCGCACATTATCTTCTACAAGCCCGCAATAAGACATGACACGGGTCGCCAACGCGCCACTGACCTCAGAGTGCATTCGGACAACAGCTCGATAGAAGTGTTCATAAAGCTTTCACACGATCAGGTGTGAAGTGCGCATGAACTTATATATACTACTCTGGCCTCTTTCAAATGGCTAATGTTCTTAGAATCTCCAGCGGACCTCTGCACTGCCCGACCGAAGGAAGTTCAGATCATTGCCCTTTCAGGGGGGAACGACGAGTTGTGATGACATGGTCTGCTAGTATTTTTCTCCATTCCTTACTGTCATTAACAAACCTTCAACTTCTTCTTCGCAGAATCTCGGCACTCGTGAGGATAGGTTTTTCTTTCTGGTCAAAGACAGAAGGTTTTCAGAGGTAGATATTGATTGTGAGCTACGTGTGATGAGATCGGCTTAAGGACGAATTCCGTGAAAGGCAACCCATTTCAAATTAACTTAGCGATGGTGAGTGGTACACTAAAGAAGGAAAACCATGAGAGACGGCCCAGGGCCCGAAAAAAGGGACCTCTTCCTTGCCTGCTGATTTGAGCATTGATGCGACTATCATCGCTGGCCCTCGTTCAGACGACGCTCTATCAGCTTCTAATATTCGAGATTGAAGTGGTGGAGTGATCCGAAGGCAGCGGGTAGGCGCTGCACTGGAACACGCGCTAAATGAGCCTTAATAGGTCGCGAGTCAACTCCTTTCGGTGCTAGTCGCGCTTCGTCGCCCCTTAGGAGGTTTCGCGGGGCTCCTTCACTAGGGTAAATTGCTCTTTTTGACCTTTGTTATGGTGAATTAGTCTTTAAAGGCTCGCGTCGCCGCCACCGCAATAGACGCATAGCTGGTAGGAGACAGTATATGAATAACGAGGGGGGGGGGGGGGCGGGGACAGAAAAAAGCAATGTTGCCCAAGGCACTTCAGCCTTTTTCCTCGCGAGATTGCCGGTTTGTTGACGTGATGTTCTCGGCAAATATTACTCTACATGTCACCTCTATAAGTACACGCAGGCCCTCCTTCACTACCCTCATCGTCTTCAGAATATGGCGTCATCTGTCACCGTCGTCGAGCTCAGGGAGACCTACAGTAACTGCTTCAGCCTGAAGCTCTTACATAATTTCTTGGATCGATTCAACGTGGGATAGGTCTAGGACGGTAGCTCAGCTATGCCAATCCTCAGACCCACCCTTCGCCGAACCCGATGCTCGTACTGATCAGTCGAGAACCTTTAGCTGACGCACATGGTTCGAGCAACATTTCTGATATCGCTGTCCGTAGATGGCACTTATAAAGATTTTTCTTATGAATGAAAGGCGCTCTTCATTTAGTGGGAGACCGCTCTGAGCTGAAAGTTTGAATAAATGCATTTGATCTGGAGAAATCTTTTTGTTGGTCACACCACTGTGTATGGAGGAATATTAACCCGATAATTAAAGAGGGTTTCAGCATACTTACGGCTGGCCACGGATCGAATGGTCACCTATGTACTGGGCATTCGTGGCAGTACAATCTTGAGGGATGGCCTACTCTGGGCATTTTCAAAGTCCGCGCGCAATGCACGGGAATGGTGGGTGAAGGGAAGGCTGCGAAATTGTCAAGGCAAAGTAGGACCTAGCATAATTTACCAACTTAGGTTGCAGATCACCGCAAAACCATTTTTTTCATTCCCACCTCTTGTGGAATTGCAGGCTCTCTACTCATGGATAGAAGGTGCTTAAAGATTGTGACCAAAATATTCGCTTGAAGGAAGCTTGAAAGGCTTGGGGCAAATCAGACTTTCGATAGCCCAGCCTAAGCTTGAACCCAAGCTTAACCTTAGGCTTCATGATCACGTTGCTCGGTGACCTGACCCCAGGAGGAGAACCGAACGTCTCTCCTCGAAATGTCCTGCCTCTCCTTAGTGATTTCATCAAACACGACCTCCCTTGGAGATCTTGAATGCAACTCCCTCGTTGAGAGTTGCATGCGCCCATATCTGTGGCGTAGAGTCAGCTAAAACTTACGGTAAGGCTCCCAGGTCGCCATGACCATTCAAGAAGAGATGCATACCATTAGACTGGCTTTTAACGCGGATCTCAATTCTACGTCCAATGTGCTAACGTTCTCTGACTTTAGTTATGAAGCAATATCTAGAAACGGAAAAAAGGGCGGGCCTACGCATGAAAATGTCGATAGAGTTCGGTCCCCGATGGGATGTTGTTTACTGTTTTCCATTCTTCAGAATAGTGAGTAAGGTCGAAAGCAATACTTGAAAGAAACTTGAAACGCCTTTATGAACGTTATTTCGGGATGAATCAAAAAAAATCAGGGAAAATGATTCGAATCGATTCCTTCATCTATATCTACACCGTGGTATTATTGTTGGCCGAACGGGCAGCACTACGGTAGGACAATCGGCTAACAAATTAGGAAAGAAATTGTCCCGTACCGGCCGTTCCATTTGGCCGACTGCCAAACACCAAAGTTTGTCAACAAAACGACAAATAAAAATAAATACAATAGAAGAATGGTGTCACCAAGTATAAGCTCACAACTAGAAATCATCGAAAAAGCTGATGAATGTCATCATCATTATCATTTTGTTGTACAATCATCACTCTCATTCTATAAGGGAAAAAGAAATGTCCATCTCTATCATCATCATCGAAGAAAATCAATAAATCAATACATTCGAAAACGATCACCTTACGAAGAAAACAATGCACACACAAACGGAAACAACCATATGTTTTGAAATGTCATGAAACTCGGGAGTACGGTATAGTATGGTAGGGGTGGTACACGGCGAAGACACGACATATTTGACTTGCATTAATGAAAATACCACCCTGAAATCGATCGTAATAGAATCATAATCTATGTCAAAGGTGATGTCGATATTGGAATTACATCAAAAAGCTCGGCAAATGGATTCTCTGCTCATTCAGGAATAGCCTTGGATATTGTCCATCCTTTATACGAGCTACAGTAGGCAATCTGTCTGACGCGTTAAAGGTGAAGGTCACTATCGATCGATAATCGAAGAGTGGTGAGAGACGCAGTGTGTGCTCTCGTTCCATAGATTCTAGCCTATGTTTAGCTCGCAGTGGATAGACAATATTCAACGGCATAGTACCTACAGTATTCCTGACATAGTACTCCAAATAGTTATTAAACTACAGTCTGTTTCATCACTGTCATTCACTTCCAAATGCTGTTCTCTCCTCATGCTCGAGTATAGAGAAACAGAGTAGCTCAAGCTAGAGACGCAGAGTGTATACGTTCCACGTCAGATATCTTTCCAAATTTGTCATCTCTGCTGATTTTCTGGGGTACCCGACAAGATGCCCGTCGCGCGGCAACAAGGCAGGTCAGCGGACGAGTCGCAGCGCGTACTGTAGGGATTTCGCGTCAAGTTAAATAGAATGTACCATTGTACGTCCTACATCGCACATCACGCGCTGCGACTCGTCCGCGACTCTGCCTTCTTGCCGCGCGACGGGCCTCCTGTCGGGTACCCGATTTTCTGTCTTTCAGAACTAGAAAAAACAGCTGAGGGGATACGAAAGCTCGAAACAACAGGGCTTACCTCATGACCAAGTTCATGGGATTGTTTTTCAGGTTCTTGGCTTTACTTCTGCGGAAAATGTCAAAACGATAAGAAGCTTTTCGAAATTCGGAATTATTCGAAAAATCAGCTAAACCCGAAAACTTGGGCAGGATTCCGACAAAACAATCAATCGTCATCTGTTTCAGGGACGAAGGCCACGGTAGCTGAACTGTACAGCTAGATAGTATACAGTAATCACATTCGGACGTGCTGAAGCGATGAAACAGACTGGGGTAAATCACAAATGGTTTCTAGCTAAGTTCGTTGATGATATATGTCATATCCATTCGTTATTAGCAGCATACTTGGATATATTTAGATTTGTTAGGTCTTGCTGCCTTCCTCGAGGGCGAATAACACTCCTTGATAGGTGATGCCGTTGATTTCCATCGACACCACCATGGAGTTGTCGGCTTGTTGACCTTCTGGAAATGAATAGCGTCTTACATCAAACTTGGATGGTCGTATGTGTAATAGTTGCTAAAAACCGAATAAATGCAACTACTCTAAATGAATTATGTCCTAAGGGATTTGTAAAGAAAAAGTAGAAAGC